TGTGTGTGTTTGTGTGTGTCTATGAAACATTTCAACCAGTTTCTTTTAATCCTCTGTTTTCCCTGGTACTGTATGTATGTTTGTTGGTGGTAAACTTAACCATTTAGTCCTTTGGTTACAGAATATCAAGTTGGGATTTTTGAACTAGAAGAGTAATGATCATCACTGAGAAACACAGAGAATGATTAGACTGCATCTTCCTTCTGGAGGAGAGTAAGCATGTTTTTTTGTTTGTTTTGTTTTTTGAGTCAGAGTCTTCCTCTGGTGCCCAGGCTGGAGTGCAGTGGCATGCTCACAGCCACTGCTGCCTCAACTTGCTGGGCTCTGGTGATCCTTCCACCTCAGCCTTCCAAGTAGCTGAAACTACGGGCACATGCCACCACACCCCAAGACAGTGTCCTGTTTTGGTTTTGGTTTATTGTAGAAATGGGGTCTTGCCAAGTTGCCCAGGCCAGTTTTGAACCCATGGGCTTAGGCAATCCTCTCACCTCCCATGACATGAGCCACCGCACCCAGCTGTAAGCATGTTTTTTAAATGTGAGAGGTAGCTGGGTATAGTGGCTCACATCTGTAATCCCAGAACTTTGCGAGGCCAAAGTGAGAAGACTGCTTGAGCCCAGGAGTTTGAGACTGGCCTGGGCAACATAGCGAGACCTTGTCTCTACAAGAAAAGTGAAAAATAAAAAAATTAGATGGGCGTGGTGGCATGTGCCTGTAGTTCCAGCTACTTGGGAGGCAGAAGGATCAGCTGAGCCCAGGAGGTTGAGGCTGCAGTGGCTATGATCATGCCACTGCACTCCAGCCTGGGTGACAGAGTGAGTTCCTGATTCAAAAAAATCAATCAGTCAGAGAGGTTGCATTGTTTCAAGAGGAAGAATGGTAGTATTGCTACTGCTGTTGTTTGGAATGGCTAGAGGTGTGTATATATAAATATGGAATATGCTGGGCACGGTGTCTTATGCCTGTAATCCCAGTCCTTTGGGGGGGGTGGAGGCGAGAGGATTGCCTGAGTCCAAAAGTTCGAGACCAGCCCGGGAAACTTGGCAAGACCTTGTCTCCACAGTAAAGCAAAAAATCAGCCAGGTGTGGTGGGACTCACCTTGTAATTCCAGCTACTTGGAAGGCTAAGGCAGAAGGATTGACTGAACCCAGCAGGTTGAGGCTGTGGTGACTGTGATCGTGCCACTGCACTCCAGCCTGGGTGACAGACAGAGACTCTGACTCAAAAATCAATCAATCAGTCAGAAAGGTTGCACCGTTTCAAGAGGAAGAATGGTGGTGTTGTTTGGAAGGCTAGAGGTGTGTACATAAATGTGGAATACCAGGAAGGTGGATCGTTGTGCACAGAGTAGGTTAGAACTCAGTATCCGTTCCAAATCTCCTGTTAGTACACCTTTTGTGTAACTCGACTTTCCAGGTTCCGCTGAAGCTAGGGTTCTAGAAGCAAATTAGGTTTCTCCAACTAAATGCACGGTGCCACATTTCTTCCACAGCAATGTTTGGTTGAGCTGTTTGTTTTATAGGTGTCAAGAGGGTTTGTTGTGCAAGTAGTGGCAATAGCAGCAGTTTCCTGATTTCTGAGTAACAACTCAACAGGGGTGTCCTTGAAGCCAGAAGTCCAAGGGAGGCATCCCAACTCCCTCCCTTCCCAGTTGCAGCAGAAGTAGTAGCATTTCTGGCTGGTCAGGCTGGTAGTTTTTTGGTGGAATCTTTCCTGGAGACCCATCATAGACCCCTGACTGTCTACTCCTCCCATAGATATCTCATTTCCTACACAAAATCCTTTCCTGCTTACATTAATATTTTCTGATTCTTAAAACCAAATCCTGATCAATAAACTAAAAATTTCAGAATGTTCTTTTTCCAGGTTAATCTCATTTTATTTTTTATTTTTTAATTTTTTGAGTTGGAGTCTCACTCTGTCGCCCAGGCTGGAGTGAAGTGACACGCTCACGGCCACTGCAGTCTTCTACCTGCTGGGCTTAAGTGATCCTTCCACCTCAGCCTTTCAAGAAGCTGGAACTACAGGAGTGAGCCACCATGCACAGCTAATTTTTTGATTTATTGTAGAGATGAGGTATCGCCAAGGTGCCCAGGCTGGTCTTGAACCCTGGGGGCTTAGGTAATCCTTTCACCTTGGCCTCCCAAAGTGCTGGGATTACAAACTTGAGCCACTGCGCCCAGCCTGGTTAATCTCATTTTAAAGTTGTTGAAATGTTCACTTAGGCCTTTTCCCCTGGGTGAAAAACTTAGTTTTGTAAATAATCTTCAGAGGTAACTATTCTTGGCTAGTCTGAGTATACATGATGCAAAATGTAGTCAAACAAGTTATTCATCCCTTAAGGCAAAGAACTCTGTCTGAGGTTCTACACATTGTTATCCATTGCCATGCTCTGATGGTGTTTACATGATTAAAACAGGAAAGTCACCGTATTGCAATCTGGTGTTCAGAAGTGTTAGAATTTTCAGTATTTTTATTTTCCAAACATTATTTTAAAAGAACATTAAAAGCATCAGGAATACAAATCTGGCCTAATCGTTAACTTAAGAACAGTTATTATAAAATGTTTTAAATACATCACATACTTGGCATCACAGTAAAGCATCAAGAGTACTAATTGATATACCCTGCTAATTAATCACATTCAACTGAATTCTCATTACTGTTAGTTCTCATTTTAGCCCTTATGAAGAGATAAGTTATATATGTCTATCGATACCTTTGTTATGCTGTCATGATACAAGTACAGATAGACATAAATAACTTTTGAAGAAACAAGTTGTATATCTATATCTACACCCACATATATAGATATAGATACGGACATGGAGGTGGGCTAAGAATCTAGCCCACTATATATTTCATGCAAGTTAAACCAATAATTTCTTGATGAGCATAAAGAGACAATACCTCATATCCTCAGATGCATATGCTTACTCTTCTTGAGCAGCCATTTCTACCTGCCATAGACAGGTCTCACGCCGGGGAAATCATCTCAAACTCAAAGGTCACACAGGAAACCTGCCATTTAAAATTTTACAAACAGAAAGTACTTATGTCTTCATCTTTTATTAAATCACATTCGAAATGCCTGGCCAAAAAAGAGAGATACACCTCAAAAAGTGAGATTCTTCATTAATACTATTAATTATACATCCGTCTGGCGTGATGGAATAAGATACCAGGTTTTGAATTAAAACAAAAGTCTAATTCCTAAGTTGCCACAATTCTTCAAATCTAGGGAGAGAATATTAGATTTCTTAATTCTTTGTTAAAAAAGAGGTAATTTGTAGCTTGGGCGTGGTGGGCCTGCAGTCCCAGCTACTCAGGAGGCTGAGGCAAGAGGATTGCTTGAGCCCAGGAGTTTGAAGCTGCAGTGAGCCATGACCGTGACCACTGCACGCCAGCCTGGGCAACAGAACAGGACACTGTCTCTCTCTAAAGAAGAAGAAGAAAAAAGTAATATATGAACCTATCCCAAGGGAGTATTAATAAATAAAAAGGAGTGTATTAAAAATATTAAAGCACAATTGAAACAGGCGACTTCCAAAAACAGTATTCATTTACAAAATAAGGTATTATAAAATATAATAGCAAAAAAATAAAATAAGAAAGAGAAAGAAGGGAAGTAGGAGGGGAGGGAGGGAGGAGGTAGATAAAATCAGTTAGTGCTAAAGGCTAAATTTAAAAACAAAAGAAAACCTATATCTCATACTGAAATCTTGAAAATAGGATTGACAGATCAATACTGGAAGGTAGGAGCTGCAAGATGAGCAGGTTCCTCTGAAGATCTATCCTTCCTGCCTTCTCCGTCCCTCTCATGACCTCAGGATGGGAACAGCCTGAACGGGGATGCCTCAAGGGAACAAAGGACTTTCCAATCAGGTTTTGTATCTTGATGTTCACCTGGTATGTCTAACAGTTATAGTTCCAAAAGTCTAGAGAGTTCAAATATTAACTGTATGATGAAAATATTTTTACATAAAAATGTGAGTTCACAGTTGTCATACTAAGAATCACAGAGCATATAATAAAATTAGTTTCAGGTATAAAAACACTTAATCTGTCTTTCCTTACTGCCCATTTTCAGTTGAAGATGGAAGGGAGAGAAATCAAACAATTAGTCTGAAAATAGATCGTCTTGAGAATTCTTCTACTATAGTAATATACGAAGACAAAAAGGAAGTTATTTCCAAGTAGTTTCTTGAATACTGTCAGGTGGTTAATAAACTCTTCTCACACCGGAGGAAAACATACATCAAAACACTGCCAGTCTCATCTCAATGCCTTGTTAAGCAATCATAGAGACTGTCTAGTGCATGACAACAGTCCACACTGTTTCCCCCACATAACACCGAGCCTGAGATGACCACAGGAACACCTGCTCTCCAGGAACAGAGCACCTCTACCATAGACACAAGCCTTTTCACTAGGATTCTTAGATAATCACTCCAAAAAGTCAGGTGCAGTAGCATGTACCTAGGATCCCAGCTAATCAGTAGAACAAGGCAGGAACATTGCTTGAGCCCATGAGTCTGAGACCAGCCTGGGCAACAGAGTGAGATCCTGTCTCAAAAAAAAAAAAGATAAAAGAAAAGAAAAAAGAAAAAGAGAAAGAAAGAAAACAAGAACAAAAGATTATTCTGAAACAGAACAATTCACTTTTAACAAGCAAAAACATCTCTCTTTTTTTTTTTTGCTTTGTTTTGTTTGGTTTTTTTTTGAGTTGGAGTCTCACTCTGTCACCCAGACTGGAGTGCAGTGGTCGCTCCCGGCCACCACAGCCTCGACCTGCTGGGCTTTGGCGATCCTTCCGCCTCAGCCTTCCAAGTCGCTGGAACTACAGGCGTGCACTACCACGCCCGGCTCATTTTGATTTATTGTCGAGATGAGGTCTCGCCAAGTTGCCCAGGCGGGTCTCGAACCAGCGGGCTCAGGCAATCCACTCACCTCAGCCTCCCAAAGGCGTGGGATTACAGGCTGAGCCACCAAGCCCGGCTTAACATCTCTCTTTTTAAAAGAACTATAAAGCTATTCAACTGACAGAAAATAACATCTATGATAAAAAATGATAATAACTATAATACTATATTCTTAGTTGACTGCCTTATGAAAGGAAAGTACCTCATGCCTATGTGTTTTTGGTAAGGACAGAGTTTATAGGTAACATATTTCTGGTTTCTGCTTTAACAATATATTATTTCTTCAAATCAATCTGCTACCAAAAAGGTGTATTGTTTCCTATTTCAATACTTCAAAAGGTCAAAATTTACAATTCAATGAATAAAAATAACACCTCAGCAAAGAGCATACCTTCACATTCTTTTAAAAAAATCCAGCCAAAATATACTTTGAAGACCTATAACATTGATTCACATGATCACAACCAGTCAATTTTCTGCTTTACCATAGTAGCATCATTCCTGGCATCTACTTAAAGGTTCAAGTACAAAAGATTGGGGAAGAGATCAGGGTAAAAATCTAAATAAACTTTTACATCAAATCTTAAAGTGTCAAGAAACTATAAAGCAAATCAAAAGATACTAATCCTGCAGACAAAATAAAACCCTAACAGCCAACTTTTTAGCTGAATCTTTAGGTTTCAATCTGCCTCTGATCTCCAAGTTATAAAAAAGTCTATAAGTATCAGAAACAAAAAGTCGTTCCTGGGAGATTCCCCAGCCTCCATGGCTTTAAACAGAGGGTACCGGAATCTGCTTGGCTGAAGTGCTATCGTATTCTTGCATTAAATCGTTAGTGGTGTGATAGTGCATGGCGATATACGAGTTGGCAAATCCAAAAGAGGTGACTGGCTGTAAGTGACATGGGCTGCTCTCCTCCTGGGAGGGGCTGCTATTGTAAATGCTGTAGTAGGGTTCGATCCGAGTGTTGATGGGAGTCGAGCTGCTCTGACCACAGTGTTGATGCCCCGCCGAGATCTTGGGACTCGCCACACTTTCCTTTGAATGGCTTGGGCCACAAGCCTGGTCCACAAATTTCTTCTGCGGTTTTGGAGACAACATGTAAGCGGAATTTGTTTCGTGATGGGAGGATTTGTTTCTGTTGACTTCGAGGTTCCCTTTTCCCATGGCTCGAAGTCGGGTCTTCTGTTTGCAGCAGAAGAAGCCCAGGCCTATGTACTGGAGGCACCAGAGCACTTTCCTTCGCAGCCCTGTGCTGTTCCGAGAATATATAAAAGGGTTTAATCCTGACTTGAAAAATATAAGGGTAAATCCAAACAGTTCAAATTGGTAAAGGATGAAGCTCCCGTTGCTGGAGAGAACCACCTGCAACAAGGAAATCCCCAGTGGAAGACAGCACACCAGGACCGACAGCACAATGATCACACAGGTGACCACGGCCTTGGAATCCTTGGCGGTGGAGAGGTTGATGGCTGACACCAGCTGGAGGTGGCTGGCTGCAGGGGTTGACAGCTGGTTGGGACTCTTGGTGTACCCGTGGGTCTGAATGTGCTGCAGTTTGTTGTAATTCTGGTTCCTATATAGAGCCGGCATGGTGCATTGCATGGGCTCGGTCCCTCCCTTCATCGAAGCCCCCATGAAGGGCTGCGGTCTGGAAGCATCGACTGTGATGACAGGGGGGCACTTTCGGACTTGAGCATTCTTCCGCAGGGTCTGGGCGATCATGATGTAAGAGATGGAGACCACGGCGACACAAAAGGTGAAGTCGACCACATAGAGAGAGAGGATGGCTTTCCCTTTTCCAGCAATCAGACTGGACATGGGAAGACACAGGTGGGACTTGCTGGTTTTCAAGGTAGCCAAGGTGGCGAGGGTGAAACTGGTGGCCCAGAGAAGCAGGGTGAGGAGCAGAGTGCAGGGAAAGGAGGCCGTGCGATTGGGCTGCTTCCCCAGCACCATCCGGAGCCGGTGCAGCGCGATCACAGCCACGGTCTTCAGGGACATGATGATGAAGCCTGAGCTGGTGAGATGGAAGGTGAAGCAGAACGCATCTGGGATCCCTCGGGCTGAGCTGAAGAACAGCACGAAGGTGAACATGGGGGCCGTCACGCCGCAGATGAAGAGGTCACAGAAGGACAGGTTCAGGATCATGAAATCAAAGTTGGTTCTGAATTTCCTGAAGGCTGGATCAAAGAAGGACAAGAAGACAATGAAGTTGCCGTAAGAGCCCAGGCAGAAGATGACTGCGAGTAGAAAGGTACAGGTCACCAAGGTGGCTGTGTGGATGAGGTCCTGAAGATCTCCCTGGAGAGAGGTGCTGTTTTCCCCCTGCATGTGAGGCATGTGAAGCAAGGTGGCATTGGCGGCATCCTGAAGGTGGTCTGTTGAGTTCATCTTCAGAGAGAAATGCCTCCTCTTTCTGTTCCCCAAAAATACTCAGTGGGAAGGGAGCCAGGGCCTCCATTCACAGATGAGCGCTATGTGACCAAAGAGGCCCAGGGCAGATAAGCCTGCACACAAAAACGCACACCCAGAAACAAAAAGGGATTAATACAGTGCTCTAAGTACTAATATTAGTATCTCTCACCTTGAGAAAAAATATGTAGCTATTTAGTAGAGATGGAGTCTTGCTATATGGCCAAGGCTGGACTTGAACTCGGGCTCAAACGATCCTCCCACTTCAGCATCTCAAGTAGCTGGAATGACTGATGTATGGCAGCATGCCTGGCTCTCTCATTATTATTATTATTATTTTTACCAAAGAATTCTTTTTTACTAGAATTTTTCAGCTCTGACCTGGTGCATAGGCATCTCTCAGCTGGGCTCGGTGGCTCAGCCTCTAATCCCAGCGCTTTGGGAGGCTGAGGTGAGTGGACTGCCTGAGCCCGCGGGTTCGAGACCCGCCTGGGCAACTTGGCGAGACCTCATCTCTACAATAAATCAAAATCAGCCGGGCGTGGTAGCGCACACCTGTAGTTTCGGTTACTCAGAAGGCTGAGGCGGAAGGATCGCTGGAGCCCAACAGGTTGAGGCTGTGGTGGCTGGGAACGGCCACTGCACTCCAGTCTGGGCGACAGAGCGAGATTCCAACTCAAAAAAAAAAAGAAGAACATAACCTCTCCAACCAAAAGTTCACAGCCTCGTAGGAGGTCATGCACCCATCCCTGCCTTCACTCACTCACTTTACATTCATATGTATACTATGTGCTGGCATTATGACAGGTGCTATGAGAACAAGGATAGATAAGACACAGCCTCTAAGTTAAACGAATCCCAGGATTTTGGGAGGCCAAGACAGGAGGATCGCTTGAACCCAGGAGAGTGAGGCTGCAGTGAGCCATGATTGTGCCACTGCACTTCAGCTTGGGCAACAGATTGAGACCTCTCCCCAAAAAGAATAACCTTGCTCCTTTTTTTTTTTTTTTTTTGAGTTATTGTCAATCTAAGCAATGACAGCGTAATATGGGTGCAGGAAGCTATACAAGCATGGAGAGGGAACCTAATCCAACCTGGGAAGGGGATGGGAAAGGGAGCTGGGAGTGGGAGCCTGCTGGGTGAAAGGTCATGGGTAGGGAGCAGGGACAGACAGGTTAGGAGAAGGGGAGAAAGTTCTGGCAGCAGAAGGGCTGAGGCCACAAAGAATATGTGCTTGAAAAATTAGCCGTATGGTGCTGTTGATGTATCATGTGGCCCCTTGCATAACTCCCATAAATCACTAACAACTATTTCTTTCCCTAGGAAGAATCTTTATTTCCCGGTAGTTATAGTTTTCTCCCCAGCTTGATATTTCTTGACCAACTGCATATCATCCTTCGGAAAGAATTGTGTGTAGAACTGCATCTGAGAGGGAAAAATGAAAGCAATAAAGGGTGTCAGAATTATATTAGAAATTTACAAGGTACAAAGCACTGTGCTGTCAACTCTAAACTGCGATGTAGATGTGAGTTACCATGACTCCACGTGGTATATTCGCATAAGGAAAAGGCATGCACCCATCCCGGCCTCCACTCACTCAGTTTACATTTATGTGTTTCCTACGTGCCAGCATTATGGCAGGTGCCAAGAGTACAAGGATGAGTAAGACACAGCCTCTATGTTAGAAGAATCCCAGCACTCTGGGAGACCAAGACAGGAGGATCGCTTGAGCCCAGGAGGATAGGCTGCAGTGAGCTGTGATTGTGCCACTGCACTCCATCTTGGGCAAGAGAGTCTGACCTCTCCCCAGAAAGAATAACCTTGCTCCTTTCTTTCCCCTTTTTTTTTTTTTCGAGTCTCACTCTGTCACCCAGGCAGGAGTGCAGTGTCATGCTCACAGCACCACAGCCTCGACCTGCTGGGCTAAGGTGATCCTTCCACCTCAGCCTTTCAAGTAGCTGGAACTACAGGCGCACACTACCGTGCCCGGCTAAGTTTTGATTCATTGTAGAGATGAGGTCTTGCCAAGTTGCCCAGGTGGGTCTTGAACCCCTGGGTTCAGGCAATCCTCTCACCTCGGACTCCCAAATTGCGGGGATTACAGACTTGAGCCACCGCGCCCGGCCGCTCCCTTCTTAGCCTTTTGAAAAAAATTTGTATTGATAATTAACATAGTCATACACATGTTCTACAATGTCCCGAACCCCAAAGCCCTGTGTGGCCTGGTGTCCAACCCACTCTAAAAACATGCTTCTGGGGGACAGACTAAGCTGTTCTTTGGAGAGGGAGCTAAGCCCTTGACAACAGAGAAGCCTTTGCTTTAGTCCAACATTTCAGGAATAGCCAATGGCACTGGGGAGGTCCAGGGCTGATGTTCAGAATACTTAATCTCCAGCTCCACTGGATCTCAGGGCTCCAGCTGGTAACCCTTTAGTTGCTGGATGAGGGGGTGCAGAGGAACAGGTCTGGTCAGCGAGGCATTACCTAGGACTCCAAGCAGCAGCTATGGATTACCCAATACACAAGTCTCTCAGCATTTAACAGGTACAGCCATGACAGCGACTATCAAACAAATATCAGTCCTGGGAACTCCACATAACTACCCAGTGTCCGTCATGAAGGAAGAAGGTAACCTCAGCTACATTCTTAATGGTCACATCGTGCAGATGATGACAACATGGTGAGCTTCTCCACTGGAAAGTGAGACCAAATTTTGTTTAAAAGTTCTATAAGATAGAAAACATCAATCCTGAACTTTAAAAAAATATATATTTATTACATTTTTTGTAGAGATGAGGTACCGCTATGCTGTCCAAGCTGGTCCTGAACTCCTGACCTCGAATGATCCTCCTGCCTCGGCCTCCCAAAGTGCTGGGATTACAGGTGTGAGCCACCACGCCCGGCCTAAATCCTGAACTTTTGTTTCTTGATGGTTAGAGTTTAAAAAAATAATAATGAGCTGTGCTCGGTGGCTTAGCCTGTAATCCCGCGCCTTTGGGAGGCTGAGGTGAGTGGATTGCCTGAGCCCGCAGGTTTGAGACCTTCCTGGGCAGGTGAGATCTCATCTCTACAATAAAATAAAAAAAAATTAGCCGGGCGTGGTAGCATGCGCCTGTAATTCCGGCTACTCGGAAGGCTGAGGCGGAAGGATCGCCGGAGCCCAGCAGGTGGAGGCTGCGGTAGCCAGGAGCGGCCACTGCACTCCAGTCTGGGCGACAGAGTGAGACTCCAACTCAAAAAATAAAATAAAATAATAATAATGAATAGCTCTTATTGTTTCCACACACAGATTGTATATCTGTTTCTGAGTGCTTCTTGTACCTATGTAGTGAGAAAGTCAACTTTTTACTGTTTTTAAAAAACTCGTTAACAGGAGTATTGGGGTTAAGTTATGAAAAGAGAAGTAGGCTAGGCTCAGCAGCTCAGCCTTTGGGAAGCTGAGACGAGAGGATGGCCTGAGCCCGCGGGTTCGAGACCTGCCTGGGCAACTTGGCAAGACTTCGTCTCTACAATAAATAAAAAATTAGCCGGGTGTGGT